ATGCATTCTCCGCTAAACCTTTTCAACTTCTCTGAAAAAAGTTATCACATAACTCCAAATAACACTAGATTGGCACCAATTGAGTACAATAAAATAACGAAAAAGGTAAAGGTTCAAACGAGTTAAAGCTTCTTCAAAGAATATATCTAGTAAATATTGAAAAAAAAAATTGCAACAACTGAAAGTAGAATAGCGAAAAAATCTAGACATTAGTTTTACTTTGATTAATCGCTGACACATAAACAAAAGTCTTTTATTTCAGTTTGAGAAAAGATGTTCATAATTGGGATGATTTATAGGAAGAACTACCGAATTGGCTTCGTTAAAATCAATTTCATTCGAATCGAAGAAATTTCGCGAGGTCGGAGTTTTATTCTCTAAGGCTCACTTCTTACATACACGGGTTAACTCATTGAATTAAACGCAGCGGGCAATTAGTTCAAAAAGTCTCCTTAATCTCGAAGACAATTACTGAAAATTTCTAACAACTGCTCTGAAAATTTAATCCCTGAATTGTCTTAATTCGGCAGGCAGTTTAAGAAAAATAATAATGAGTACTCTATTCCTGAGGGAATGGTTAAAAATATGGAAATTAAATATTCTAATCATGCTGAGTTGTTATGACAGACATTTTGCCACAAAAGATGTTGCATAAATTAACGAAGTTTCATGTACTAAAATTTTATTTTGGACACTATACATTAAATCACACGACTAAATGATCCTTTCAGAAAAAGTGAGTCTGAAATTGAAGGCCCAAGAAAGGTCATTTTCAAACAAAATGAAGTCTTTTGAAAAATGCCCAGGTAGATATATGGTATATCTAGAAATTAAAACATTCGTGTCCTTGCAAACACGGCGCTTAACTCTGAAACAAGACTGCTCGGATATCAAGGCAGAGTCCTGGATGTTATGACAACCATATAATTGGTCGCCAGTGATTTTTGTTTAAGTAAACTCTGATAAACTATTAATTTGAAGTGTAAATATCAAAATTCGAAAATTGAAATTAGAGTAGTATAAGGAAAAACAGTGACCAAACAGCCTGATTTCAATTCGGAGCAATTTTGTGTGACATTTCGTGAAGGTTTTTGTCATCATAGATTAAGTCTTCAAATCTTTAGAGGAATAATTTACAAAGGCTCACAGAGAACTCAAGATGATTTGAGACCATCCGCTTGGAAACACGTTAACTTCATGAGCGATCTATAATTTTTGTAAGAAAATGATTTGAAATAATTAGGACATAAGAATGGCTTTCGCAATGAGTTTTTGTCATGGATTACAAAAATGCTATCGTTCAGTTTCCTATTTTAATATTGTCCAGATATTTATCTTACAAAAAAACTGGGGAAGAAAATATTCATAAATTATAAACTTGCGACTGCCAGTACCAAGTATTGATGTTAAACTTGAATCGTATTGGGAGTTAATTTAACCAATTAGCTAACCTCACTTTGGAAGGATTTTAAATGCAGGATAAAACTCATAATACAAATAAGCATGGCTGGTTGTATATCAGGGCAAACCCTGAATTTTCCGACAGCGCCTCAATCGGTATTGAACAATTTTTGGCAAGAAAACATTAGAAAATCAAAACTTTTAAACAATATCAAACCTATAGTACGAACATTTTAATTACGAATTCTACACAAACGTTCAGTTTGCCTCAATTCAATTTAGAATGATTTTGTAGTTCGGAATATTTCGCTTCTCTTAAAAAAACTGCAGTACGATTTAAGCATTTTGAAAAGTTTCAATTTTGGCCAATATCAAATATCATGAGTGAACATTTGAATTTTGAAATTAAAATCACTGCTTAGCTTGAGATCATTTAAAATGATTTTGAATTTCAATTCGCTGCGCATAAATAATTTGCGTTCAGATTTCAGCGTCATAAAGAAAATCTGCACAGCTCGCATTAATTAATCCAGAGCGCGGCCATTTTTGGATTCGTCACAACTTCAACTTCACAAAAAGCAATCAAAGGCAAAACTCGTTCTTACATTTGAACTCAAAAAGTCAACATCTTCAAAGGGGTCCAAAAGATTTCGGTAAAAACTATTATGTATCTTGATTGCCAAATTTTGACTGAAAAATTAAAAAAACACCCCAATTTTATATATTCTGCTTTTCTTCAAAAACTGGAGCAATAGCTACGCTTTCAACATCTTATATAAATTTTCAACGCACGGATAAACTTAACAAAAAATAATTACAAGTAAAAAATTTTTCTACGTTTGAAGTCAGGGATGTGATACATTCTGTAAGGAACGCAATTTTTGATTAAAAATGCTGTTTTTAAATTCCAAAATTCGTCTGAATAAACAAATAACACAACTGTAAATGTTCCGTACTTTTCTTCAAAAGCCCAAACAAAAAAGCAGATAACAAAAAGCAGATAAAAACACAAGTAAATAAACACAATGCACACACAGTAACTATTTACAAAGCTTCAGCATTGTTTTTTTTTCAAAAACCACAAAACAACGAAACAATTTTGAATAAATGGCAATCAGTTTTTGTTTGAATCCACATTGTTGCCTCAAAAATTTTACCATGAACAAAAACAAAAAATTTCAAAAAAAAACAAGTTGGTTGCTTTTTTCTAATGGTCTCTTGTCACAATTAACTTCTGCTTCGAATTTCAAATCAGAGCAGTGAAGTACACTGAGCAAGCAAGCTCAATAAAATCGTTCATACACAACTTTTGTTAACGTTTAACGTGCAAACTCGTTGGACACGGAGTTTTGCTTTAGTGGAAGGAAAATTAAATCTAAATTTATTGACTCTCGCCTTTTCTTTAGTAATCGGAACAAATACGAAAAGTATGTAAGTTTGTATGGATGGAACAAAACAGTGAACTGAATTGAGACTTCGGTTCTGAATAAGAAGCAGGAAATGCAGAATCATGAACAAGTCAGCTTGTCTGAAGAATCGGAACGCTCTTCAACGTGTCTGATATAGTATTTGGAAATTTTTTTGAAATGATAGAAAAAATTGACTTTTTTTCAAATCCACATCAAAGTCAAGTTTAAAATAATTTTTTTTTCGATTAAATTGCTAATTAGACTTTTGGTTAGCGGCCTCGATGTAATTTCCGTTAAAACTAAACACAAACACCCAAACTTTATACAAAAACGGTCAACATTTCATGTCTTTCAAAAACTTTAACTTTAATATTTGCTAAAATCTGATTAGCCGAAAGTCAAACATTGCTTGAAAAAAATACAAACGAAAACCCACCGAGCTGTTTCATTTATTTTGCAAAAACAAGCACCAAATCGCAAATGTTTTACAAATTCAAGGAAACTATGCAGGCATCCTGCTCATATTTGGTAGCCGTTACAAAGAACAGCGTTATAAGATTTTTAAAATAGTTTTATTTAGAAGCTTGTTTTATTCGATTTTCCGAAAACGATGGAAAACTTTGTGCTTGAGGATTTTTTCTTCAAAAACAAATTTTTGCAGTGATGGAAAAAAAAGTTTTTTTTTGTTTTGTCAAAAACCTAATTAAACGGAATTTGGTTATGGTCTATTGAGCTATAGTGATCTAGCGCTGCGCTATTGAAACCTTGTTAAATGAAGTCAGTCTCCCAAAACAAAACTTTGCAAAATGTGGCCAACAGCGAGTAAATCAACCGAAAATGCGCAAGAGCCGAAAAACCAGCCAAAATGTAAATGTCACATGATATATAACAAACCAAAACTTATGTCATTTAATCGAAACCATCAAGATTTCTGTAAATGTCACTTAATTGTTAAACAACTTTTGTATAACAATTAAGTTTTTTGGATGATTTATTTTGTAGCTGGTTTAAATTTTGGCTGGTTTATATACCATGACGCTCACTAAGTACAACAGGGGGAAAATAGTTAACAAGATCTAAGTATTCGATACAATGCGATAACAGCTTTTGCAACAATTACAAAAATGTAGTTTTACATTTTCGGTTTAACGTCAAGTTTATTCTTTTTCTTTCAAACCATGATTTAAAATTGACTGCACTTTTTTTCACACTTTGTTACATTAATTACATCTAATTACATTTAATTACATTTCATCTGAAATTAGATTTACCCTGACTATTTTTGACTGTTTGTCATTCTTGACCTGCTAAAAAACTGTATTTTCTGTTTCAATGCTACCAGATAAGGCAAATCCATTATTATGATGATTTTTATTTTTTAAAGCGTCGCATTTTTTTTTTCATCATGGATAAAAACTGGTCTAAATTCAACTTTTATAGAAATATCGTAGCAATGGTGATCTTTGTTGGCGAAGATGAAAGTATTTCTTGTTGAGTTGATTATCAGACTTTTCAACCATGCAGTCGAAGTGCTCAGATATCATCTTTCAGGCTTCAAAAAGAGCCATCTAATTTTATCTAGCCTAAGTTTTTTGTATAGTCACTGTCAAATGATTGGCAATATTGGTGACCTCGCAAATCAATTAGTCGAAACTGAAGAATTTTAGGTCAACTATTTTTGCAATGATTTTGCGTGTGGAAATAATTAATAAACTGTTGTCAAAATGAGAATTTTCTAGGTTAAATAATTTCGTTCAGATTTGTTGACTACTAAAATATAATGCCAAAAATTTGGCATTAACTATAAGACAACGTTTTCTTACAGCTAACCCGGCCCTTTTTCTTTTTACCCACAACTGTGAAAATTTACAAGTAAAATTTTTGTTCATAGTAAAAGATTAGTCCACTTGCTACAAAATTTTCTGCCTCCTAGTTATAATTGGGAAATGACAAACATAAATGGTGTTCATTTTTAACCTTGTAAACCCCTCGTGACAAAACATGCTTTTTTCGTATTTAAAGTAGCGGGAATGAAAAAAATCCTCTAATCTTTTTGCCAGCCCCTCATTATATATTTATGTTTAAGATCCTTTTGTTTTCTTCTGATGGCAAATCCCCCCTTACCTTTTAAATAGAGAGTAGTCAACTAGAAAAAAAACCATTTCATTTTTTAGAAAATTTGGCGCTAACCTTGGTCTGACCGGGATTCGAACACCACTCTTCCGTCAACTGCCTTGGTCTGGTAGAACACAAGGTTCTGAGGAATGCCAACTGCCGCCACTGACTGCCGCCCTCCGCTGCCACCACCGCCGCCGACACTACTGTCGGATAGCACTCGACTATTCGGGTTGTTAATGCGAGCCGGCGAATAGTCGGTGTTTGGTTCCCATTTCCAGATTATTTTCAAAGGGTGATCGAAATTTTTGTAGAAACATGTCAAGTTTATGACGTCATGTTTCATAAACTTCAGTGAACTTTTCCCTGATCCGTACACTTCCTGGGCAGTAGTTGCTGTAAATAAAAACAAACAGAGTAAATAAAGACAATCAAATAACTTCAAATAAAAAGTAACAAAATACACAAGCAGTAAAATACAATCGGTAAAATAATCAATTAAATTAACTGCTAAAAAACATTATAAGAACACGATTAAATTAGGGTAAGGTTTCATTTGCTTAATTAGTTAATAAGTAATAAAGGCGAAGTTAAATTTACGGAAGGAAGATCAAAAAAGAGCAGGCGTTTCTATTTTTCATAAGCTCTAATCAAAATGAACCGGCTTTTTCTGATGATGAAAAAATGCCATGACTTTTGCACCACACCATAGCTCTTCATTTTGCGTTTTGTGTTTATAATCTAAATAAAAAAGATGGAAAAAAATACTACGGGCAATACAAATTCCCTCATGCTATGAAATGAAGTATCGAATTTCTCTGTTGGAATTTAAGCTTCGAAATAGCTATAATTTGGGACAGAATGAAAAATTGATAAAACTTACAGAAAGAAACACATTAGATCAACTCAAAGGCAGACGTTAAATCATCTCGAAAACGTTGCTCCAGAAAATATCGATATCTAGAATGCTCCCTCCTAACTAAAATGACTAAAAACCAAAAAGTATATCAATTTTTTCTTTAAAAAAATCCAATACACAGGAAAAATTAAAACTCAGACAACTCTCAGTGAAATCTAATAAATCGATAGTATTGATTTGTAAACGGACTTGGCCAGCTTGTTTTTGTTGACATTTTTTTGGCAGTAAAAATGGACTATTTCCTATTTTCGCATAAAAAGGAACGTATTTCCAAGATCCCTTCATTGAATACCTCGCAAACAAAACACATTAACTATGAATTCAAAAATTGATCAAACAAACTAGAGATCCATCAGCTTATTATCTAGTTTTAGTAAAGGGCTTGACAAAATTCAAAACTCAAGACTGATCTTCTTCATTGGTAAATACAAAAGTCTACATCGTGAACAAATTGGCTTGAGAAAAAACATTCATGTACTCATGCGATAATCAAAATTATGGAACATGAGAAAAGTAATCGACCATAACGAGTACAGTTTGGCTCAATTTTTTGATTTTCAAAAAGCTTTTAATACAGTTTTCCATGAACTTTGCAAACTATGGTTTCATAGAAAAAACTGAATCAATTTTAAATGATTATTTAAGAAACTGTCAACAAAAGTCATGAAAATATTCAGTATACAAAAAATCAATTCTGGAGTCCCACAGGCTTATTCTTTGCTCATTTTTGCTTTTTTTGCTTCATATAATTAATATCCTGAGTGTTTCGAAAATGTCAAAAATAGCATTGTTTGCTGATGAAATCACTCTGGTTATATCTGAAAAAACTTGCCCTCTCTTACACAAAACAAGCAAGGGTTGCGAATTAAACGTTTTTTATTGAAAAAATCAATTAAACGGCGTTTTTTTAATAAAAAACATGATTTATTGTTTTTTACAGTTTGTTCAGCTCTAACATTCTGCCCTCACACCGATGGTCTAACAGATATGCGACAAGCAGTCAGATAATCATCTCTTCTTTTTGCTACAAGGTTAGTGCAACATCAATTAGTGCTCATTAAGGTGCGACATTGTAGAGATCGAGCCGGCTCAATAAGGGAAGAAGGCTCATTCCCCTATCGCAGCGGTTCGACTCCCAGACGATGCTAGTTTTTTGCGTTAAATGTCATAAAATAATAAACACTGTTTTTTTATTTTCTGTTTTAAAACGTGTTTTTTGCCATGTTTTAAGACATGTTTCAAAACATTCCCAACTCTGCCAAACATGAAATGAAAAATTTATAAAACTGCTGCGCATCGAACAATTTTTTTTCATAGCTGAAACAATGAATTTCGAAAAAAAAGTAGTGACAACATTCCTCATTCCTTTGCCATTTTTTAATGAAACATTGTAATATCAAACATCATTCGAGACCTTGGAGTTCAAAACTTTTTCTAAACTTAGTTTTCAGAAGAAAGTGTTTTCACATGACTGTTGATTTTGCTTTTTAAGGAGTCAGATCTGTATCAAGTTACTTCTGTATCCTCAAAAAAAAATAAGTTTGTCTTTTTTGTGTTTTTTAGAGTATTTAAACCTTTGGCACATTACAAAACTAAAAACACAAGTTTCGGAAAAAAATGATTAAGTGCTGATTAAGTTTCCATCTACAGTAGCGTAACAAAATGCTCCCCTACATTTTGGTAGCCAAATTTCTCCATTTAGCACAATTTTAAGACATTCATTTTTGTTTCTTTAGCCTTAAAAAACTTCAAAAGGAGCTTTTGATGCCAAATGCGCTACGTTTGGGGGGTGATCCCTCTCAGTAAAAGATATTGGGACAAACACACGGATGCTTTTAGAAGCTGTTTCAAAAACACATTTTTTATAAGGGTTTTAACTGAGCTTGAAAAATCAGTTCGCATGGTTTCATACCTTGCGTAACTTAATCTGCAAAACCTCAGGGATTCCTCAGAATTAAATCAATAACAATTCAGAGCTCGGACCTTTGCTCCGAATGATGGACAGTTTCTCGCCATATTATTAAAAACTGGGTTCCTGTGGGACTCGAGGAACTTTTCCCAGTATAAAGATTTAACCTTTTGAAGTCACACGACAAACTAAAAATCATTTTTTTTACACTGACAGGACGCGATATATGCTGATTGAACCAATATCGCATTTTCCGAAATCATTTAGGCCGAAAAAGTTTTTGGAGCAAATAAAAACTAAAAAGAAACACTTCAAAGCTTACTTCATTTCCAGGAAATTTGCTCAAGCCAGAAGAAAAAGCATGTTTTGAAAAGAAGCTGACAAAAATTCTCCCATTAGAAAATCATTTTAAGAAAAGCAGTTCCTGGTCAGTATCGAGCACATAATTTTAATGGTCCCAAGCATATACGTTACCTCCAAAATCAACATGTTGAATTGATACCTCAAACTTCACACACTAGGGAAATAAACTGAGCAAGTGGTTGAGTGATTTTGTTTATATTTAAGTTAAATTCATCAAGTTTCTAAGTCGATAAACTACGTTCCGATTTTCTATCGCTTAATTACTGTAAGCAATACAGTCTGTCGAACATTCAAAAATATCGAAATTGTTCACCAAGTGTGTCAAAATAATAAAAAAAATTTTTTTTGAAAAGCGTTTGACACTTTTCATCTTTTTTTCTAATAATTATACAGAGGTATCAACAGAGTGAATTATGTTGATCAAAAACTCTTCTTCAAATTCAATGGTTCCCATATAGTACCTTAAAACTATATTGAAGAACATTTGAAAAATAAACCGACAGATTGAAGGCCGAGCCGAGCGGCCTCAGCGACACAATTCTCGGCAACGATAAATTGTGCCCTTCAATGCTTAACGTGCAGCCTTGTCACATCTGCAGGCAATGCACTAGCCAGACAATCGATTCAGAGGTTAGACATTATACTGTTCTCAATTTTCTCATAAAGTCAACAAAGAGTATTTGATTAAAAAAAATATAGTGCGGGTTTGCAACAACGTAGAGAGAGATTTCCTATTACAATTTATTTATTGGTTGACAAAACTTGTTTCAGACTGGTCTTTAACTTGTAAGATTAGGATGGCGGTTTAAGGATTAAGGAGGAGAATATTCAGCTGAGTTTTCAAGAACTACAAGAAAACCTGGCAAATCTAATTTGTTTTTAAAAATATCAAATGTAATTAACCCAAGGGCAGTTTTTTTTGGTAAGAGGTAATTTCGACCTGAATCTGCCTTTTGCATGCTTGCAAAAACAATAAAGATACTTTTAGACTTTTTTCAAAAAGGGACAAGTTTGGCGCAGAAAAGTTTTTGAAAAAAATTGTGCTGAGAATGGTAAAAAAAAATCGGCTGATATTCTAGAGAAAAGGGCAAAACTCTGCAAGGTGTCAATTCAGCTGCTGATGTAAGGGGGGGGGGGGGGGGGCTGACGTCTTTCACTTCAGGATTTGACCCTCCTCACCAACCAAATGATTACCCCTTTGGTATTATGTTATGACATCCATTTTAGGCCAATCAACCCTTCGGGCCAAAATAGACTATTTTTGTAGAGGAGCACGCCCCGAAAAAACGCAATTTTGTGGTCAAATGATTCCATTAAAAGCCCGAAAACGGCTTTTTGACATGTTTGCTCAAACATTTGCCTGTACCGCAAAATTTTTTGTAAAAAATAAGGTCTTTATATGTTTCTGGGAGCGCTCGGAAAAAAGCCGACAAAATTTTCGAAAAATTCGAACCTGTCTGAATATGAACAATTTCTCGCATTTTGATTTTAGTCTCATAGAATTTGGAATCTGGGTAAGGTTTAGTGACTATATTGCAGAAAACTATTGACTGAATCCTCAAATTATTAGCAATGCAAGTACGTTTTGCGGTTCTGGAGTAACGATAAAAATGTTGGCCTTCTTTGAATCTCAAACAGTATGAAAGCGTGTCTTCACCTTAGGCTGCTTTTAAGCGCTTCGAGAAAATTCTAGATCAGCCCCTGTGTCAAATTTTTGATACCTCTCTTTCAAGCCGCCCTGACCCGACCTTAAAGTCAACCGAAAAAAATGACCTTAAAACTTCAATGATAATATTATCCGATATCTCACCTGGAATTTTGAGAAACGGGACAGATATAAACTTCTAGTTGTAATAACTTTAAGTTTCTTTGGTAGTAAAGGTTTTATCCAGCTGTAATCTTCCGCAATAAAGGCCTAGGGTAACTCAGATCAGTCCGAGGGCGCCATTCCGTCAGATTAAATTAAATAAAGCAAAACCACCGTAAAACCTTCTTTTTCACTATTCGATTTGCGTAAATCTTGATTTCACAGAATACAATTGTGTTATTTTTGTAGCGGTACAAATTACAAATTCACTCGAAGATTTTTGTTATTACGCTGGACTTCAAAATAAACCAGGGGGATTTTAGTTGGCAAATGCTTTGTTTTCAATAATGTGACCGCGCTGGTGTCAATTTTACAAAAGCAAAGTGATACCAGTTTAT